CTGACCTCGAATCGCCCCCGTGGGCACCTGCGAACCTCAACTGAGCCGCCTTCGGGATAGGACGCTTTATTATTTTTTTTTTTCCTTTCCTATGTATGAAAAATGTCTTGTTCTAGTTGTTAACATTATTGACTCGATTTCCATAACAAAACTACCTCTTGCGTGACATCCTGCTGAGCATCTCAAAAGGGATTACATGGGGAAAGAGAAAAGAAAGGCCTTTTCTTTTTCTTTTTCAAACGCTGCCTCCAGGGGAAATGCCAGCCAGAAGAACCTTTGGCAGAGGGCTGTGTCCATCTCTCCCACTTTCCCATCCACGTTTCAGGGCTTTCTCGCCACGTCTTGGCCCGGCAAGGCATCGCCGGGGGGTACCAAGGGCTTAATGGGGGTGTGATACCCCCGAACATCACCAGAGCTGCTGGCTTATAAGAAACAGGGTGCACCTTTCGGCTTGTTACCCCACAGTGAGATGGGCAGTGACAAATTTGAAATATAAATAAATAAATACATTCTGACTGGGGCTGATGGAGGTGGTAGTCCAAAACATTGCAGGGGGCAGAACGTTGTCTGTCCCCAGGATGAATCCACGTTCGTCCCTAAAGGCAAGTCTTCCCTCTGAGCTCCCCCGCCCCGGCCAGGAAAGTGCTCTCCTAGCACAAGGTGATTGTAATTCAGATGTGCACATTTTCCTTTAAAATACTCTATTTGCCCGAAAAGGTTTCCCTCCCAGCCTCCAGGTAACTTAAATGCAAACTGGGACAGCTGCCTTAAGATTTTGCTGCAAATGCAGTCATCCAAGCAGTGTGGGGGGGGGGTTGCTCTCCCCCCACTTTCTCCCTACTTTGCAGGTAGCCCTGGGGTCTGATGTGCCAGGCAGGGGTGCCACTCGCATGCCCCACGCGCTCGTGGCAAGGGCGTGCACACCCCAAGCACTCTGCCAGCTCAGGGAGAAGCTGCAGTCGTGACAACCGACAGTGGCTCTGCGTGGGAAGGGCCATTACGTGTCAAGGCTGTGAAGCTGGAAGTAGAGTGGACACCATTTCTTCCCACCAGGCTTTGGCTGGTGCACATGCACCGTCTCCCAACACATGCGCAGTTTGGTTCTCTGCCGCAAACCAGCCCCTCTGTTCCCGCCCTGCTTGTTTCTCCTTGGGCCTCCTGGGTCCTTCTGGGACGCTCCCCTCCCTCCCGCCCCCAGCCAGGTAGGAGAGATGGCAGCCCTTTGAATCACCTGATCCCCAAGGCGTTTTCCCCATAACCCCTTGTAACAAATCAGGGCAGCAGGATGTCACCACAACATCACAACTAGTGAGTGTTTAGCTGTTATGTTTTTTCGCCTGCTCGGAGCTGGAGTTCAACCGGGCAGGAACGGGCACCAGGCATGCTCTTCGAAGGAGGGTTGGTGCCCCTGCCCGTCAGAGCCTGGC